CCCACCAGCCACGCTCCTCCCCACCAGCCACGCTCTCCCCACCAGCCACACTCCCACCCACCAGCCACACTCCCACCCACCAGCCACGCTCCTCCCCACCAGCCATGCTCATGCTCTTCCCCACCAGCTACACTCCCACCCACCAGCCATGCTCCTCCCCACCAGTCACGTTCTTCCCCATCAGCCATGCTCCTTCCCACCAGCCACACTCCTCCCCACCAGCCACATTCTTACATACCAGTCAGGCTCCCACCTACCGCCCAGGCTCCTACTCACCAGCCACACTGCCACACTACTCGTCTACTCACCAGCCACACATTCTTACCCAGCACCCACACTCCTACTCGCCAGCCACATTCCCACCCACTGGCCGTGCTCCTACTCACCAGCCACATTCTTACCCACCATCCATGCTCCTCCCCACCAGCCACACTTCCACACTACACGCCTAATCACCAGCCATGTTCTTACCCACTAGCCACACTGCCACACCACGTGTCTACTCACCAGCCACATTCTTATCTATCGGTCATGTTCCTGCCCACCAGCCACACTGCACCACACTCCTACCCACCAGTCACATTCCTACCCCCTAGCCACACTCCTACTCACCAGCCACCCGCCTACTCACCAGCCACACTGCCATGAGTCCTGTGCTATGCTGGGCTTATAGTACACAGTTATTTTGTGAGTCAGTAATTTTTGGAGATTTCATTGGCAGTAATTACTGTCCAATAAGCAACCTATGGACAAGACCACATGCTGCTTAGCCACGAACAAGGGCTGGACAGTGGAGATGCCACAGCTCCTGTCGGCTGCCCCCTGTCAGGCTCCACCAGGAGGAGAAGCAGCAGCAGCTCCCTCCCAGCCATGCACTGTGCCACCGGCAGTGCCCACCCAGGGCTGTCCAGACAGCCATAGCCGGATTCCCATCTCCAGCTTCAGCAGTGTTCCCAAACCCTGCCTCACTGTGCTGCCTGGGGAGTCACGCAGCTGGGAGTGTCCCCTGTTAGCAGGCCCCATCCCAGCAGGGCCCCTCCTCCACCCTCCGGAGGAGGCAGCAGCAGCTGGGCAGGGACCCCCTTGAGCGTTTGGAATCGGGCAATGCCAGCTCCCCATGGCCAGCTCTGTCTCACCATTTTCTCTGTGCTTTACAGTCCTCCAGCAGCTCCTGAGCCAACCTGCTGTGTTCAATGTCCTCATCAGCACCTACTGTGGTTTCTACTTTCTTGAGTGGACCCTGACAGTTGACTCTCAAAGTTGCTTTACTTGGAAAGAGCCGTAGGAGGAGCTATTTCTCAGTAAGATTTCAACTAGAATAAGCGTTTCCCAAAGTACGCGGCATCCCAGCATCCTAGGAACCATGAACACACCTGCCCGACGAGTCCGAATGAGCGGTCCAGGCTCCTCTGGTCCGTGTATCTTCTGATTTTATTATGCAACCATCCCAACTCAGAGAGCCTGACTGCTGTGTCTCTCAAAGACCTACTTAGATTTGCCTAAAAAGTAAATACATCAAATGTTAAACATTAAAAGTCAATACCAGAGTTTTAACTAGTATTTTTCTCAAACACTTACACTTTTAATATTATAATCCTTAAGCTTCAAGACATAAAAGTTAAAACTAAGATCCCATCACTAAAAGGAAGGAAAGCACATCAAGTGACAGCGTGATGGAAAGCACCTCAAAGGGCACCATGAGCTCCCTTCACACCACCCTGCAGTTGACCTGCGGTGTGGCAGAGATGGTCTGTGATCTCAGTTACGCTGTGAAAGGGCTAAAAGCCCCAGTGTGACTCACACCACAAGAAATGGGCATGGTAAAGGCAGGTTATGGAAAAAGGAAGCAAAAGTGGGTGAAGACCCCTCACCTGGAATCCTGCATCAATGCTGAAGGCGCCAAGGGACCTCTGTCCCCTGGATGCCTCAGCCATCACACAGCAGGATGCAGAAATCAGCTATGGGGCGGCCCCATCAGTAGATGTGAGGAAAGGAGGCACACATTAATCACAAAGGGTCCCCATAATAAAACTGAATGAGCCACAATGGACAGAAATAGAAACCAGGATTCCACAGTGCAATTTCACCTCACACTCGATTCGCAAAATCCCAGTACCACCTTATCAATCAACAGCTCACTATCTGGACTTCATGACATTTTTTTTCTTTCTGAATATTTTAAATTAGATTTTATGTTACCGTACCTTTCCTTCTACTTTGTAACAATTTTCAGTGTTGTTCATTTTGATATTTTTGCCGTCTATGCCCTGAAAGACGTACAAAATGTCCCTTACCAGAGCTGCTTCTGTAATTTCCATAGTACCTGCAAAATCATTTTTTAAAGAGTAATTACTAGATAATACATTTTAAGATACAACAGATATTATGACACAATTAGCTTCAGATTAGATATTTGCCACCCGGATGAAATTTACTAACTCAATAAATAAGTTCAAGATGAAAAAGAAAGTATGAAGTTAGAAAGAAACAAGGTGAGTCTCAGTCTAGAGGCTGGCCTGCTGTGCCACGAACACACAACTGTCCAACACAACATGAGTGTGGGCCGTGGACAGACAGACGCCGGACGCAGGAGCTACACATAGGGACGGGGGGAGTGGGGCAGATGGTAGAGACTGCTGCGGGGGACTAAGACTGCCAGGATGTCCTCCGGCTCTCAGATGCTCCTCACCTTCACATTCTACACAAGTACAGGTACAGGTAACATCCAGAGCCATTTCAGAATCAGCAGATTATAAGTCAACAGGGAAGCCCAATCCTCTATTTTCAGGACACTCATGTTTCAAACGCTGCTAACTGTAGTGTTCTCAAGAAAGAAACTCAGGCTTCCTTTTGGAATCTAGCAGGGCTTTAAAACCCTCCATGAGGTATTCATCTCACCATCGAGTAATTCCTCAGGGACTCTCTTCGACATGCCAGGCACTGTGCTAAGCACTGGCCCCATAAATGAAACAGACTTAGCCCCTCTGTGGACTTAAGACTTTGGTGGAAGAAGATGACTTTTACTACGGTGCCTAACCCAGCCTTAAAGACTTTCAAACCAGGGAGAACGGCAGGATGAAAACAGACCAGGAGAATGCGATGAGGAACAGCAAAGAAGAGAGACGTGTGGGGAGGAGGCCACATGGACGAGCAGTCAAAAAGCAGACTGTGCTGGGAGGAAGAAGTCCAGGGAGCCTGGGGTGGAAAGCCAGACTCCCCAAGGTGCCGCAGACCACCAGGGACTCTGGACTTCATCATAAGAACAAGAAACCACTAAAAGGTTTGAGGTGGGGCTCCTGGGCCGTACTTTAAAATAAGGAAAGGCCGAATTCCAAACGTTCACAGAAAAGCTGTATAAACATAGATCTTTACTCACAACCCGTATCCCCTTCTCTCCTGGACCTTGTCATGTTGCGAGACACAGCATTCGGGACACCTTTTGAGGTAGTGGCTTGTGAAGAAGGCTGATTTGCAGTTAAAGTCCATGCGAGTCGTGACCCCAACTGCTGTCGAAGGCAATCTCCTACTCCCGGAGCTGGATGAGACTGTCTACAAAAAGAAACATGTTTTATCTTCTAACAGTCAGACTATTCACTGAAGAGACAAAAGTGTCCCCAGAAATTTCTCTTGTATTACTATTGTGAATTATGTAAATTTATAAATCTCAGATAGCTGATACCATGACTTTATCCTAACCGAATATATCAGTAACAGACAGTCCCAAGTCCCCTGAACTTGGCCAAGCCTCCTTGGGACCCTTGGCCTAGCGTTCAGACCCAACACAGTGGTTGAAAAATCATCTTACTGCTACCTTACATATATATTTCTTACCATTAATATCAAAATCTACTTGGCTTTTCTTTATAAACATATACCCACCCTATAACCACTTTGAAATTCTCTACTTATTTTAACTTCAAAATCAACAACTCTTGTTCAGTCCCCATGTACTGAGTAGAATTGAGTCACTGTGACACTGTCACAGGCGCCTGGCCACACCTGTCTTCAGCCTTCAGGGTGCTCACTATGAAAAGAAACACTGTAATTTTCAATTAACTTCTAACATATACAAACGTATAAAATCTGAGCAGCATATTCAAATGCATATTCAAGGTCAAGATGGCTTGTCAGCAATTTTGAGACTATGTCAAAATTGTTTTTTGAAAAATGTAAGAACCTCATAGCTGATTTCTAATAGCGTCAGTTTTGACAGATGCAACTAAATATCACTTCCTGGGACTGCAAAACACAAAAATGAGAACCTCAGCTGCACTAGTTTCCAGGTGCCAGAGCTTGGAATTAGTACTGGTGCAGTATTAGGGGGGTTCATCCACAATCCACTCATGAAGTAAGGAGAACAGGAAAGAACTAAAACAGTTCTTATTTTACTCCATTTTCATCAGGAAAGAAGTCAACAACATTCACTAAAACTGTGTCTTTGGGCATAGTCCTAAATTTAAGAGGACAATTCTAAAAGACTTTCAGTTCAAAGTTCTCTATACAGATTTTTAATAGGATAACAGTAATTAATTTAAATTCTAAGGTATAAATGAGAATGTCAATTGATTCTTTTAGCTGGAATTTAAATTTTAGATTAAATGTGTCAAGTTCTGTTTTTAAATGCTTTGCGTTTTCTTTACAGAACGCTAGACCCCATTGGTAATTCATACGTATAGAACACACATTCTGTTTTTGAGTGTCTTGAACATAATTGTATAAATCACAAAATGATTTAATAATTCTATTACACTTATACGGAAAACACCATTTATTTGATGCTAAATCCTTGGTCACTGTTTTTCTGGAAAAATATCTACTTTATGATAATCTACTTTAATGCGATTTCCAGGAACCAACTATGGCAAAAAGCAAATCCACCTATTTATCTACATATAGGAAGAATGCGTAATTAAAAACAAAGGAAAACAAAGTTCCATCCATGAATGACAACGGCACCTGCTTGATTCTCAGCTGTAAATCCTGTATTTCCTGAAAACGTGCTTTGACCACGTACATAACACCTTCGCTGTGCATTCCTGCATTTCATCATCTTAATTCACATGCACTAAAATGTCACAATCCTTAAAGATCTCAGCACTCGAGGGAAGTTCAACCTTATTATATTTTACTTAACGATTTATTAAAGAATCCAGTGAGGAGAAAAATGTACATCAATGAAGAGGTCACTATTCCCTAAGAGAAAAACCTGAGCACACAGTCAGAGAACCTCTAGATGAAGGGCTTTGCACAGGGTACTTCAAGCTCCTTCGTGATGGACACTTCAGTGACAGCTGAGAACTGGCCGGAACTTTACAGCCAGCTCTGTCGATTACAAAGTGGAAAGAACCCCTACCGTAGGACAGTTCTGAAGAGAAGTAACACAGCTGTGAAGAGGGGTAACACAGCCATGAAGAGGAGTAACACGGCCGTGAAGAGGAGTAACACGGACGTGAAGAGGGGTAACAC